CACTATATGCATGAAATTTGAAAAGTCAAACTTCCTTATAAAATTTTAAATTGATTAAATTTACATACTTGACAGACTATTTCAAAATTGAAAAGAATGCACTTCAAGACAAGGAAGGTGTTTCATGTAAGAGAAAAAATTTATTTGAAATATTGTAAGTGTCAGAAATATTTGCAGTGAACATAGGACAATAATATGTTCAACTGTCAGTTATGTGTTTACTATTTATTAGATTAATTATCTGATGTTTGCCACACTTATTAAAAACGAAAACTAAATAAAAAATGTTTTTATGATAATTTGTTTGAATTTTCAGTTATCTCAAGATTCCTGTTTTTAAAATAAAAATAAATGATTTATAATACACAAATAATATAATTAACATTTTATTTAAAAATCATAAAATAGTAAAATTATTCATTTAATCAGTTTTTTTTAACTATATTTAATATATCTTTTAAAATCTTTAATTTTTTAATTTTCCTCTAATTTCTTCCACTTTTTTTCCTCTGATTCTTTCTGGTTTTTCATATAATTTAAAAACCACTCTGGGGGCTCAGATGATAATTTTTATTTCTTTCGTGGTGATGATGAGGACGACGATGGAGGAGAAGGAGGTGGTGGTGATGAAAGTGGCGGTGCTGGTACTGCTCTTTTTTTCAAAAGTTGAAGCTAACAGTGTTTCAGGAGGAGGACTAACGTTGGCTTTTAAACCAAAGACGTGATCGAAATCTTCATGGAATTCCCAAAAAAGAAGGCGACCACTTCCAGATTTTCTCATCTGGTCTTTCCTCCTCCTATAAGTTAATATCAAATTTCGCCACTTCCAATCGCATTCCACTGCTCCTACGTTGACACCTTCTTTTTTTCAACTTTACACTGGCATCTCCCCATAGTTTGACTTTTTTACCATTCGGCTTCTCAAATAGTGAGTCAATTTCTTGCCGAATTTCAATAAGATTTTTACCGAAAGTGATGTCCAAACATTTTCCTATGAAAAATGAAGTTTTATCAGCATATTTAAGTGTAAATTTTATAAAACAATTTTAAACATTACTGTTACTAAGTAAAAAGGCTACTTAGACATGGTATTCAATAACAAAAATATAAAGAATGTATTAGTTTTATTTAAAACTAGCTACAAGGACCCGCTTCGCTGGGTTTTTATTTGTTTGTACATTTGTATGTAATATAGATTTTTTATATATAAAAGGCTGTTTATCTAAGTAATCTAGAATGTAGCTGCAAGGACCCGCTTCGCTGGGTTTTTATTTGTGGGCAAAAAGTAACGATAGTGAAGATTTAAGGTTATAGCCAATTTTACCCGTTTTCACAGAATGCAAGAATTAGGTCCCCCCTTTCCAGACTAATTAGAGACTTGGTCCCGATTCTATTTCTGAACGTCTCCTGTTCACGTCCAGTCAAACGAACTATTTTCAACGTTTCTGGAACGTTTACAATCGTTTTATAATCGAACCAATATTCGAATTTTATGTTCGAATTCAAATTCGAATATTGTTCGAACAAATTTGAACAAATTCGTACATTGTTCGAGTTGAATTCGTACAAATTCGAACATAACATTCAAAATAGAAAACCACTTTCAGCCCCATATCTCCGGCACCCTTATAGCTATCGAGACGCAATCCCATAGTGCACGAATGGAGACTTGGGGCTACCACCACATACAAACAGCATTCATGTGCGATGTGTAGTTTTTGCGCAAATGTGAAATATAGGGACACACACGTCCATTTATATATATATATAATTAAATACTTACAGAATCTGATTTGTTTTCTTTGTTATTTGTTAAAACTGAGGCTGTACTAGTATTTAAATCTGCAATTTAAAATAATACGATTACTTTTTTCATCTATCCATCTTATAAGTTTTACTTAAACATATATGTATGTCTGATATTCTGAGACAACTACTTAAACTATTTCATTTACATTTAAAAAAATAGATTATATAATTTTAAGAAATATCTATTAAATTATCTTACTTTTATTTTTTGTGCTTTCATGGCTGGGAAATATTAATTTAAAATACTCTTCTTTAAAGGCATTGTCTGGAAAATATATAAATTATAATCAAATCTCACAATATATGAAATCATATATAATTGAATAATTTTCAATTATTCTCTATTCAATCTTCACATTTAAGTATTAAATATAACATAATAATTAATATATTACATATAATTGAATTATATAAAAACAATTGATAACAGCTATACTTTAATAATTCGAAAGTACATTTAATCTGTAAATTTACCTGTTGTTAATCTTTCCATAACATTCTTGTCGACAATTACCTCGACTTTTTTGTTATCGCTGCTGGTTAATACCACATTATACATGCATGCGTCCATTGTGCTTTAAACGTGTAGCGAACGTAAAAGCTGCTTTATCTTCGCTGCAGCGACCTCTTGCAGCAAACGTTTAGAAACGGTTCGCTACATTGCAGCGCTGCATTTAGAAACGGGTTTCAGAGAGTTCGCTGTAAAGCGCTTCTCGAGCGCTGCATAAAGAAACGC